TAATAGAGAAATAAAATTTCTAGTCAGTAGGTTTTCCTTTTTTGGGCAATAGGGTTATATTTGTGGAATCGGATGACAACTTGATGAGTCAATTTTAAGCTTTGATACCAACTAATGTAAGCAAGAGAGCTCTTGAACAAAGTTTTGCGAAAATTTATCAAGAACCAAAATTGAAAATTTCATATATCAATAATTAAATAAATAAAGCTCAATATTTGTTTGGAAGGGAATGGGTGGAAAGAGGAAACAAGCAGAACTAATTCTTCTTAACATATTTTTGATTGTGTGGAAGAAGAGGAAAGAAAGGATGTTTAATGGGGTTGATAACGTAGATGGTTTTGACTTACCAGAGAATAGATGGTTCTGGAACCTTAGTTTTTTGTTGTTGGGTTATCCTCTTCATTTAAGAAGAATTTAGAAAACTTTATTGACACTTTGATTGAATTATAAATCTTTGTACATGGGTGAGCACCCCCTTAGTTTCATTATTAATATATACTATACACTTTCTATTTTTTTAAAAATACTCAGTATTTATATAGTAATCATGAATATTCTTAAGTCTATCAAGTAATTTCACAAAATAGGAAAACAAACTAATTAATTGAAATATCCTACTAGAGGATAACTAAATAAGATCCTAACTCAAAAGGGAGTAATAACTTATACCATTAATAAATCTATAGATACTAATTCTCGAATAAGCTAAATACCTTGGTAATATATAAACATTACAACTATATAAAATATATCTTACTATCAAAATATATCCGCTTTAAATTCTCCTGTTCTACATCATGATGAGATATTTTGTTTGCAACCTGTAGTCTAAAATGTGCATTTTCACACTTTGAGGTCGAGTTAAAAATTAGAGTGCAAAATATCTTATTTCTATGAACATAAATATTGAAATGGCCAATAAATTGGAGAGCAAGCATGCAAAAGAAATTCTCAAACAAGCACTAAGAATTTATTAGGTACTTCATTCATAACCTGTGATCTAAAATGCGTTTCTCGGCCTTTGAGGAGGAACTAACAAGAGACTCTGACAGAACTTTCAATTTATCAACCTGCAACATCAAGAACAGATCACCAAGAATAGCACCATGATGCAGAAAGTAACTAAAACAAGATTGAGAACAGATAATACTAGCTACAAACATGACTGACTTCAATTTGAGGATGATATCAAAGAGAGTTGAAGAAAA